CTCCCTGCCATCTCTGCACACTCCATTCTTTATATCACCTGCATTTTCCCTAGAAGCAAGAGCAAAGGAGGCATATGAAAATCTGCACTTGCTCTAACAGTGTTGTTGTCTGTGTTCAACATTTTCATTGTCTGCAGTTATTCTTGGGAAATGAATGATAAAGGACAAAAACCAGGACCAGGAATCTTGAATTCCACCTCTTGTATTTGAAAACAATTTTATGTATATTCTTCACCTCTTTTCCTCCACTCAAATCTCTGCTAAGTATTTTTCTCAGGGAACTCAAACCCAGAAACTGCTGTAATATACCCACTTGAAAAACACAAAAACAGCTTAAACCTAACTAGAGTTTTAGTTAAATTCTGTACTTTCCTGGAATTTTTATTTCATAAGCATACATGGATACACTTAGAATATTTCAAAAGAGAAATCTTCAAAAAAATGCCAAGAACTTTCATTCAAGTTTTTAGAGGAATGATAACTAATATGGAAGTTCAGTTCAGTTCAGTCGCTCAGTCATGTCAGACTCTTTGCGACCCCATGGAATGCAGCACGCCAGGTCTCCCTGTTCATCACCACCTCCTGGAGTTTACTCAAACTCCTGTCCATTGAGTCGGTGATGTCATCCAACCATCTCATCCTCTGTCATCCTCTTCTCCTCCCATCTTCAATCTTTCCCAGTATCAGGGTCTTTTCAAATGTCAATTCTTCACTTAAGGTGGCCAAAGTATTGGAGTTTCTGCTTCAACATCAGTCCCTCCAATGAATATTCAGGACTGATTTCCTTTAGGATGGACTGGTTGGATCTCCTTGTAGTCTAAGGGACTCACAAGAGTTTTCTCCAACACCACAGTTCAAAAGCATCAATTCTTCAGTGCTCAGCTTTCTTTATAGTCCAACTCTCACATCCATACATGACTACTGGAAAAACCTTGCCTTTGACTCGATGGAACTTTGTTTGCAAAGTAATGTCTCTGCTTTTTAATATGCTATCTAGGTTGGTCATAACTTTTCTTCCAAGGAGTAAGTGTCTTTTAATTTCATGGCTGCACTCACCATCTGCAGTGATTTGGGAGCCCAAGAAAATAAAGTCAGTCACTGTTTCCAGTCCTTCCCCATCTATGTGCCTTGAAGTGATGGGACCAGATGCTATGATCTTGGTTTTCTGAATGTTGAGTTTTAAGCCAATTTTTTCACTTTCCTCTTTCACTTTCATCAAGAGGCTCTTTAGCTCCTCTTCGCTTTCTGCCATAATGGTGGTATCATCTGCATATTTGAGGTTATTGATATTTCCCCTGGAATTCTTGATTCCAGATTGAGCTTCATTCTGCCCAACATTTCTCATGATGTACTCTGCATATAAGTTAAATAATCAGGGTGATAATATACAGCCTTGACGTACTCTTGTCCCTATTTGGAACCAGTCTATTGTTCCATGTCCAGTTCTTTTTTTTTTTTTTTTAAAGTGAAAGGAAAAAGATTTAATTATATTTATTCACTAATTAGACAAACTTATTGAGTATCTGCTACATTCTAGGCATTCTTCTTCCCATTAAAAATTCAGTGGTGAACAAAACAGATACAGATCTCTGCCCACTTACCAAGGTGGATGATAGAAGTGTTACGGTTGCATCCATAGTTTATGTCAAGAATGGATGGTAAATTGGTCCACAACACATTCCAAAATCCATGTCCAGTTCTAACTGTTGCTTCCTGACCTGCATAGAGATTTCTCAAGAGGCAGGTAAGGTGGTCTGGTATTCCCATCTCTTCAAGAATTTTCCACAGTTTATTGTAATCCACACAGTCAAAGCCTTTGGCATAGTCAATAAAGCAGAAATAAATGTTTTTTTGGAACTCTCTTGCTTTTTCAATGATCCTGCAGATGTTGGCAACTTGATCTCTGGTTCCTCCAGCTTTCTAAATCAAGCTTTATCATCTAGAAGTTCACAGTTCATGTACTGTTGAAGCCTGGCTTGGGAAATTTTAAGCACTGCTTTACTAGAGTGTGAGATGAGTGCAATTGTGTGGTAGTTTAAACATTCTTTGGCATTGCCTTTCTTTGTGATTGGAATGAAAATTGACCTTTTCCAGTCCTGTGGCCACTGCTGAGTTTTCCAAATTTGCTGACATATTGAGTGCAGCACTTTCACAGCATCATCTTTTAGAATTTGAAATAGCTCAACTGTAATTCCATCACCTTCACTAGCTTTGTTCATAGTGATGCTTCCTAAGGCCCACTTGACCACATTCTGGGATGTATGGCTCCAGGTGAATGATCACACCATTGTGGTTATCTGGGTCATGAAGATCTTTTTTGTATAGTTCTTCTGTGTATTCTTGCCACCTCTTCTTAATATCTTCTGCTTCCATTAGGTCCATACCATTTCTGCCCTTTATTGTACCCATCTTTTCATGAAATATTCCCTTGATATCTCTAATTTTCTTGAAGAAATCTCTAGTCTTTCCCATTCTGTTGTTTTCCTCTATTTCCTTGCACTAATCATGGAGGAAGGCTTTCTTATCTCTCCTTGCTATTCTTTGGAAATCTGCATTCAAATGGGTATATCTTTCCTTTTCTCCTTTGATTTTTGCTTCTCTTCTTTTCTCAGCTATTTGTAAGCCCTCCTCAGACAGGCGTTTTCCTTTTTTGAATTTCTTTTTCTTGGGGATGGCTTGATCTCTGTCCTTTGTACAATGTTATGAACCTCGTCCATAGTTCTTCAGGTACTTTGTCTATCATATCTAGTCCCTTGAATCTATTTTTCACTTCCACTGTATAATCATAAGAGATTTGATTTAGGTCATACTTGAATGGTCTAGTGATTTTCCCTACTTTCTTCAATTTAAGTCTGAATTTGGCAATAAGGAGTTTCTGACCTGAGCCACAGTCAGCTCCCTGTCTTATTTATGCCGACTGTATAGAGCTTCTCCATCTTTGGCTGCAAAGAATATAATCAGTCTGATTTCGGTATTGAGCATCTGGTGATGTCCATGTGTAGAGTCATTTGTGTTGTTGGAAGAGGATGTTTGCTATGACCAGTGTGTTCTCTTGGCAAAACTCTATTAGCCTTTGCCTTGTTTCATTCTGTACTCCATAGCCAAATTTGCCTATTACTCCAGGTATTTCTTGACTTCCTACTTTTGCATTCTAGTCCTCTATAATGAAAAGGACATCTTTTTTGGGTGTTAGTTCTAAAAGGTCTTGTAGGTCTTCATAGACCCGTTCAACTTCATCTTCTTCAGCATTACTGGTTGGGGCATAGACTTGGATTATTGTGATATTGAATGGTTTACCTTGGAAATGAACTGAATAGAAAGCACAATAAGGGAGAAGAAATACTTTATGAAGGAGGTGCTTACATGTATATGAATGGGGTACTTACTTGCTAAAGCAGCAGATTTGGGAGAGCAATTATGGAGGTGACCATCACCCAGCATTCATCATTCCATGTGTAAGAAAAAGTGATTTATTATTTCAAGGCCTAAGAAAAAATTTTGAATGTCCGGTCTCTGAGAAAATCACAAGAACCCATTTTATTAGGGACCCAACTTCCAAGTTGGACAACTGTCCCTGTGTCACCTGGCAGCCAAAATCAGAGGTCTAATACTCAGATCTTCACCTCCCCAGTCTATTTGTCCCTAATGGGATCGCCCTTTAATGTTTGTCATCATCTTGAAAACTGTTTCTGGCATCTTTTCTTACTAGGCTTTTCTTCCAGCCTCTCCTGCCCCCACCTTTCCCTGCAGCCATTCCATTATCAGTGATGGCATCCTGCCAATGAAAACTAATCGGACTATCTTGCAGTGGCTCCATTTAATCTTTATGTGTAGGACAGCTACCTGGAATATCTGTGGCTTTACTGCACTCCTGCTCCTCTCAACTCCCCCTCCTCTCTGACTATCTCTTTTCTTCTTTATCTTTTCCAGTATTTGACGTAAATGAATTTGAAGCCTTCATCCTCAACCCTGGTTTGACCCTCCCCATTTCCCTCTCTCCCTCTTGTCCACAGCCATCCACCTGAGACATGTGGTCCCCCAGGTCCACATCCCTCATCCTGTCATCCCTGTATCCCCCGCGTTAGCTGTTCCCATGCCAGCTGGACTCATCTTCCCCTTGATCTCACCCTGTAGTCTTGACAAACCACACCACTGGGCGCTCACCCAGTCACGCCCTGAATTTAGGTTCATTTGTATTGAACTTTCAACTGGCAAGTACTGTGTGCCTGTGACTTATCATGTACAATGCCGGGGTCCTGACATGCAACAGTGAACAAGGAAAACTACATAACCCTACCCTTAAGGAGCTGCCAGGCTCACTTCAGTCCACTTGGCCCATGGTAGTCCCTGTGTCTGGAAAGAGCACTGTCCACCCACCCACCCGTTTCTGCATGTTCACACCTGTCCTTCAAGGCCTAGTTCATTGCCCTCTCTCCTCCTTGATGCTCATTCTCAGAACCTCTGACCGGAAGTCATCTCTTCTGTTACTAAACCCTTCTTGTGCCTTTTTTCCTGCATGATAGACACTTGAAATTTTCTTTTCTCTCTCTCCTCTCAGTACAGGTTTCCTAGGGGCAGGGTCTGAGGCTTATGTGTGATTTCATCTTCGACAGCATCTAGCAAAGTTGCATCATTGCACTTAAATGTGCAATAAATGTTTGCAGAATCAATTCAGAATTGATTCTATCACTTTGTCTCTCACTGAATTTTTTCTGAGCGGAGACATAAAGCACCTGAACTTCAGTACATCCAGACACCAGGTGAGTGATTCTAACTAAAAGACCGTGGGTTCAAGTCCCAGTCTGAGGTTGCACAGTTTCATTAGGACTTTGCCTGGTAAAACAAGGTAATCAAACCATTTACACACCACAAGGCCTACCACCTAAATAGATTCTCTCCATTCTTCTCCTCGTGTCCCTTTCTAAAATATTGTCTGAATTACAGTATGTTGCTGGGATACATTGCATGCTGCTAATGGGTTTCTTTCTGCTGATTAACAGGTTTTGGATTCAGGGACAATTAAAGAATATAGTCCACCACATGATTTGCTGCAAAACAGTAATAGCCTATTTTACAAGATGGTGCAACAACTGGGTGAGGCTGAGGTCACTGCCCTCACTGAAAGAGCCAAACAGGTGAGGCTGCTGCAGGAAGTTGTAATTAAAGTTTGTCTCCAGGGTTCACACTCTTCACCTGATCTCCACCAGGCATCTGGTAACAAGCACTCTGTGCCCTTTTCAATCAGAAGCCTCTGGAGACTAAGCATCATGCTGCTGCTGCTGCTGCTGCTAAGTCGCTTCAGTCGTATCCGATTCTGTGCAACCCCATGGACTGCAGCCTATCAGGCTCCTCCATCAATGGGATTGTCCAGGCAAGAGTACTGGAGTGGGTTGCCATTGCCTTCTCCAAAGCTTCATGACTGAGTCTTAATAATACTTTGCAGGCTGAAGGCAGATCTGCTGAGAATCTGCAGCAGTGCTGGGGTTGGGGTCAGAATGTGTGCAGTCATGTGTGCATGAGAGAGATTTTGTATTGCAGAGTCCAGGTGGTTGGACTCTGGCTTTAGATTCTTATAGAGCATAGAACACTCTGCAGATCCTTTACATTTCATTCTGATAGGTGCTCAGTACATTTTTTCAAATTTAAATTTATTTTTAATTGGACGATAATTGCTTTACAATATTGTGTTGATTTCTGCTGTATATCAACATGGACCAGCCATAGGTATGCATATGTCCCCTCTCTCTTGAGTCTCCCTCCCACCTCCCACCATATTCCATTCTGCTAAGTTGTCACAGAGCAGCGGATTTGAGCTCCCTGCATCATACTGCAAATTTCCACTGGCTGTGTCTGCATCTCCATTGCTGCTCTGCAGATAGGTTTATCAATACCATCTTTCTAGATTCCATATATATACACTAATATATGATATTTGTTTTTCTCTTTCTGACTTATTTCACTCTGTTTAATATGTTCTTGGTTCATCCACCTCATTAGAACTGAATCAAATGCATCCCTTTTTATGGCTGAGTAATATTGTGTACATGTACCACAATCCCTGTATCCATTCATCCATTGATGGACATCTAGGTTGCTTTTATGTCCTAGCTATTGTAAATAGTGCTGCAGTGAACATTGGGGTACATGTGTCTTTTTCAATGATGAAACCGTACCTCAGTGTATATACCCAGTAGTGGGATTTTTGGGTCATATGGTAGTTTATTCCTAGTTTTTTGAGGAATCTCCATACTGTTCTCCATAGTGGCCATATCAGTTTACATTCCCACCAAGAGCACGAGAGAGTTCCCTTTGGTACACAATCTCCAGCATTTGTAAATTTTTTGATGATGGCCTTTCTGAACAGTGTGATGTGATACCTCATTGTACTTTTGATTTGCATTTCTCTAATAATTAGAGATGTTAAGCTTCTCTTCATATGTTTATTAGCCATTTGTATATCTTCTTTGGAGAAGTGTCTGTTTAGGTTTTCTGCCCAATTTTTGATTGGGTACTTTATTTTTTGTTATTGAGCTGAATGAGCTGCTTATATATTTTGGAGGATAATCCTTTGTTAGTTGTTTCATTTGCTATTATTTTCTCCCATTCTAAGGGTTGTCTTTTCACCTTGCTTATAGTGTCCTTCACTGTGCAAAAGCTTTTAAGTAGGTGCCATTTGTTTACTTTGGCTTTTATTTCTATTACTCTAAGAGGCAGGTCATAGAGAATCTTGTCAAAGAGTGTTCTGCCTATGTTTTCCTCTAAGAGTTTTTATAGTTTCTGGTCCTACATTTAGGTCTTTAATCCATTTTGAGTTCCTTTTTATGTATTGTGTTAGGGGGTGTTCTAATTTCATTCTTTTATATGTAGCTGTCCAGTTTTCCCAGCACCACTTATTGGATAAACTGTCTTTTCTCCATTGTATGTTCTTGCATCCTTTGTTAAAGATAACATGCCCACAGGTGCGTGGGTTTATCTCTGGGCTTTCTATCCTTTTCCACTGGTCTGCATTTCTGTTTTTGTGCCAGTACTATGCTGTCTGATGACGTTAGCTTTGTAGTCTGAAGTCGGGAAGGTTGATTCCTCCAGTTCCATTCTTCTTTCTCAAGATTGTTTTGGCTATCAGTACATTTTGGATGTAAGTGCTATCAAGGAATAGCTAGGAAATTTGAGAGTTGGAGGGGAGAAAGGTAGAATATTGTTCATGGGATCTAGAAAGATCTACTGGGGAAAGGTATAGGTCACCTCTGTTTTCTAATTTGTGAAGAAAAATCCTACATGATACTAATATCATTTTCTCCATAAGTCTTTGTTGTTTAGTATTACGCCCAGTTAGAGTGTTGTTCTCTTTGCTCTATCAAAACCTCTATTTAGCACTCCAGAGATCTCCTCTCCTGTGATGATACTGTCTGCTTGCTCAGTCTTTGCTTTATTACTTTCTGTGTATGAAATGCCTCTACAATTGCAGGGAGGAAATTGTCCATGATCACAGAGCTATTGGAAGTGTTGACAAAGTTGGCTTGTTCAAGCCTAGATTGGGGACAACAAAGATTGAGTTCTGAGCTTTTCAAAAGTACTTACATTATATGCAAATGTAAGGAAACTGCACTTGGAGCCCTATATTTTTTATGCCTGAAAATCACAGAGCACTTTCATCCAGTATAGTGTCTCCCATTCAGAGCTTCCCTCCTAAGACATGACAAACATTTGTGATTCCCTATAAACCTACTCACAAAACAGCCAGAAATCCCACAAACCCTTTTGTTCATTTGACCTTAGGCATTTCACATCAGAGAGATATATCCCCAACTATGTGTCAAAATCCTCAATTTAAAAATGTGTTTTCCTTATGTATAATCTAACATTGAGTAGTGAGAAATAGATCACTGAATTCTAGATGGATCCAGATAACATAAGATATTGGCTTCAACACCCTTATTTAATAGATGAGGAAGTTTCTTGAGAGGAAGTTGGTCCTATATACATAACCATATACATTGCCACTCATCATTAAAACACTAAGATCATGGCATCCTGTCCCATCACTTCATTGCAAATAGAAAGAGTAAAAGTGAATGCAGTGACAGATTTTATTTTCTTAGTCTCCAAAATCACTATGGACAGCCAGGAAATTAAAAGATGCTTGCTCCTTGGAAGGAAAGATATGACAAACCTAGACAGCATATGGAAAAGCAGAGACATCATTTTGCCCGCAAAAGTCATATATATAGTGGCTGTATACACATAATTAATATTATGCTAGTTTGCAGCAGACACAGAATTAGAAATCTGTTCTTTCAGTAAGTGTTTCAAATCAAGTGTAATATTCATGTAAAAAGAGGCATAGGTCATAGAATTAGAAAGCTTGTTGATTCCTGGTCTAACAATCTTACAACTAATTTAACAATATTTATTGGTAAGCTACATTTGTGTATTGTTGTTGTTCAGTTGCTAGGTTATATCTGACTCTTTGTGACCCCGTGGACTATAGCATGCCAGGCTCCTCTGTTCTCTACTATGTCCTGGAGTTTGCTCAATGCATTGAGTCAGTGATGCTATCTAATCATCTCATACTCTGCCACTCTCTTCTCCTTTTGCATTCAATCTTTCCCAGCAGCAGTCTTTTCCGAAGAGTTGGATCTTCAAATCAGGTGGCCAAAGTATTGGAGCTTCAGCTTCAACATCAGTCTTTCCAATGAATATTCAAGATTGATTTCCTTTAGGATTAACTGGTTTAATCTCTTTGCAGGCCAAGCAGCTCTCTAAAGTCTTCTCCAGCACCATGATTCTAAAGCATTAATTCTTTAGGGCTCAGCCTTCTTTATGGACTAACTCTCACATCCACACATGACAATTGGAAAAGCTTCCACTTTGACTATATGGACTTTTGTGGGCAAAGTGATGTCTTTGCTTTTCCATATGCTGTCTAGATTTGTCATAGCTTTCCTTCCAAGGAGCAAGTGTCTTTTAATTTCTTGACTGTAGTCATTGTCCACAGTGATTTTGGAGCCCAAGAAAATAAAATTTGCCACTGCTTCCATGTTTACCCTGTCTATTTGCAATGAAGTGATGGGACAGGATGTGATTATCTTACTGTTTTTAATGTTGAGTGGCGAGCCAGCTTTTCACTCTCCTTTTTCACCCTCATCAAGAGGTTCTTTTAGCTTCTCTCCACTTACTGCCATTAGAATGGTATCATCTGCCTATCTGAGATTGTTGTTATTTCTCCCAGCATTCTTGATTCCAACTTGTGACTCACCCAACCTGGCATTTCACATGGTGTACTCTGCATTTTAAGTAAAATAAACAGAGTGACAATATACAGTCTTGATGTACTCCTTTCCCAGTTTTGAACCAGTCCATTTTTCCACGTCTGGTTCCAACTGTTGCTTCTGGACCTGCATACAGATTTCTCAGGAGGCAGGTAAAGTGGACTGGTACTTCCATCTCTTAAAGAATTTTCTACAGTTTGTTGTGATCCACATCATCAAAGGCTTTAGCGTAGTCAATGAAGCAGAAGTAGATGTTTTACTGGAACTCCCTTGCTTTCTCCATGATCCAACAAATGTTGGCAATTTGATCTCTGGTTCCTCTGCCTTTTCAAAACCCATCTTGTATGTCTGTAAGTTCTTGGTTCACGTACTGCAGAAGCCTCGCTTGAAGGATTTTGAGTATAACCTTGCTAGCATGGGAAATGAGCACAACTGTGCAGTAATTTGAACATTGTTTGGTACTTCTCTTCTTTGGGATTAGAATGAAAATTGACATTTTCCAGTCCTGTGGCAACTGCTCTTTTCCAAATTTTCCCTATTGAGTGCAGCACTTTAGCAGCAGTGTCTTTTAAGATTTTAAATAGCTCAGCTGGAATTCCATCACATTCACTGGTTTTGATCATAGTAATTCTTCCTAAAACTCACCAACTTCACACTCCAGGATATCCAGTTCTAGGCGAGTGGCCACACCATTGTGGGTATCTGGATTGTTAAGACCTTTCTTGTATAGTTCTTCTGTGTATTCTTGCCACCTGTTCTTAATCTCTTCTGCTTCTGTTAGGTCCTTGAGTTTTCTGTCCTTTATCATGCCCATCCTGGCATGAAATGTTCCATTGATATTACCAGTTTTCTTGAAGAGATTTCTA